AGTTTTGAAGACAGTTTAACCAGCTTTGTGTTGTAAGACAGGTACCATGTGAGTGATAATGTCTGGAGTTGAGAAATTGTTTCTGGAATTGGCTAAACATTTTTCCATCTGGATTTCTCTTTTGTTATTTTTCTTTAAATAATTTTACCAAACTTTAAGTAATAAGGTAAAAGATGGCAGCTATTATACCATTTTGCCTTATTGAAGCCATGACTGCTTTAACTGAGCTGCATCTGTTCTCTGCAGCTTTCTCCAATAAATAGATTCATGCTTCTGCAGTAAACACACCAACATTGTGCAAGCACAGGGAGAATGAGAGAATGATCGCTTGGCAAACAGAAAAACAGTCATGTGGTCGTTGCAGTCATGTGACCTAAAGGAAAGTCTAAAATGTCCGTGGGACTCTGTGGAGCAGAAGGAACTGTCCAGCAATATCAGAGCAGTGATGGAGTAATCTAAACTAATATTTGGTTGGAATGTTTGGTCTGAAAGTCCAAACTGGTTCTGTACATTTTGGAATAAACACTGAGCTCAACTAAACCTTTAAAGCAGAAACACCAAACAGTTCCCAACAGCTTTTGAACATTTCTGTTTACCCCTCAAATTAACAGAACCTCAGTCAGACATAAAAACCATTCTCTTCTAGGGCGTTTTTTTATTTTTTTATTTCTTGCATTACGTGAGACTTCACAAAGGTAATAATTCTATTTAAAGTGATCCACAACAGGGAAATGCAAAAATGGGAAAAGCGAACAGTTTAAATTTGTGAATTTGTGACACTCACATTTGACCAGCCACTAAATTACAGCTGCTAGTCTTTTATTTCTGTTGATCACATACAACAGGTCAGCAACCTGTGGCCCGAGAGCCACGGACTCTTTGAACCCTCTCGAATAGCTCCTAATAATGGCTAAAACTAAGATAAATAACTTAATAACAAATACCATTCTTATAAGCTTTAGTGGTTTTTATAAAGAATGTTCGAATTAAGAGATGAATGAGGGAAAAAAAGAAACAAAAGTAACTTTTTAAAGATACCTATGGCCTATAAAATGAAAATCGATGCTTCAAGTTAATGAATAATTTTGTTTTCACTCATTTCAAAGGTTAAAATGACAAATAAACAGTTCTGGGGGGAAATAGAGCCACATACAAGTGGGTTCTCTTACCAAGTGAGGGAGAGAACAGGTTGTTAAAAAAAAAGGCAGCTGAATTTAGGCAGAACACAAATTTTCTTTTATCATTACAAAAAAAAACTTAGAAAAAAAAGTAAAAAAAAATGCAAGAAAATTTGAATTAGATAACTTTTTCCTCCCTTGATGAACGAAATACTTAGACAGTTTTTTTCATTTGATCAGTTTATTTTGATCCTATAATATAAACTTTTCAATCTGAAAACATGGCAGTAAAAAAATAAAATAAAATAAAATAAAAAATAGAGGTAATCAATGAGGTGGAAATATAAACCCTTCACAAATCAGCATGCCTAAAAGTCCACAGTGGGTTTATGGCATAGCTGGTCATTATGGTGCTGGAATGTATATTTTCCAATAAAATATAAAGAATTAATGTTTCTTCTACTACAATGCACCCCAGCTAGTTTTTTTCTGTCAATAAAGAGTATGCCTGAAGAGCAATCAGCGATAAATAAGCTGCATGGGAGATTATTTTCTGTCATTTAACCAACATTAACAAAAAATTAGCCTCTGAAGCTGAAACGTTTTCTTATTACCTGTAAATACAGTAATCCAAAGACATCAACAAACTTAAAGTCTGAACTTGAATCAATCGTACCATAATTTCAGGAAATATGCTTTTATGGTACTTTGCTTTGGTATGCTTTGGTAGTTGTAAAAGTATTGCATGAACTCCAAACGATCCACAGCAGCTTAAAACTGCACATTTTGTGAGATATGTTCATCTACAAAATACGAAAACAATTAACCTGATTGCATAAATGGGTTAAAATAAATGACTGTGTGCAGCATTTGAAGGAGAAGGCACTTTAGAGCGTTTCTCTGCAGGTTGTTATCGTTTTTCTGACACATCCTTTTGGAGCAGGGAATTTTTCACTTGGGTTTACAGCAGCAGGTTATGCAACAGTGTCTGTATACAAAGAGACAAAGTAAATCAGTTCATGACTCCCAGTAACATCATGAGACACAGACGTGGCTCCAAACTGAACATTAATCATGAACTAAAGAGGATCTCTCCCCCCCCTTCAACAGTAAAAATAACACAGAAATAAAACATGGACAGATTAACATTTTTTATATATATATAACAGAAGTACAGTAAAAAAAAAACAACAACTGAGTTCTTTTTATAAATGAATTCTGCTCTTATTTCAAAACTTCACTGAGAAAGTTAAACAGAAATACATCTGGCAAGCACATAACTTAAATCATATTAAGATGTGATATTAGACAGAGAAAACCTGCTGCCATATGGGGCCAAATTAGGAACCCAGCCTCTTTATTTAGTGGGGTAAGGATACAATGAAGCACAGAAGCAACAACTCCCAGGTCAAAAAGGAACAGGGAAAGATGCATATGACACCACAGACAGGCTCCTGTTCCCAGAGGAGAACTAAGACCGGTGGTTTTAACCACATATGGTCATAAATTTGATGAATAAATTAGGATAGCATAGGAATTTAGAAACTGTAATATTTATTTTAAAAAGTCACATCCACTTCACCTTTTATGAAGACAAAGTGATGCTTTAAGATTCTAAAACAAAGAGACTGTAAGGATTTTTCTATTAATTTTTTCTGCCTTCCTTTTACCTGGTTACTTTTGGACAAGTGTAGATTTAAAAACAACCGGTTTGGAATCTGTTTCTGCTGCCCCCTTATGTTAACCAAACTGGCCTAGTTTTCACAGGATGAATTCAATTTACTTTATGGTTGTTTTTGCAGTAATAAATCATGAAATTAGTCATTTTGGTTCGCCTTCAACCAGGAAAAGTCCCTTTAAAATTCGGACTGCTTTTAAAGATGCAGAACAAATCAAATTAAACTACTTTTACTTTCCTTGGGGAAAGTCCCGCCTTTTAAATATCATTAAAAAAAAATAATATTAGAATCTTTCATAATAGTTTTCTTTTCTTCAAATATTTATCCATGTTTATTTTACCTCTAGATTTTTAGGCAAAAAAAAAAAAAAATCAGTATTCAGAATAGAAAGGAACGTTTAACTTACTTTATAGAGATATATATTAGGTTTTTTTTTATTAGAAAATAGTCAGGAATGCTGCTTCCCCTCCTCCACTTGGTGCTATAACCTGTTAGATAACCAACACGTTTCTATGTGGGGGAATAAAACCCTCTATCCTTTGGTACCATTTCTAATGAACTGCAGAGCAAAAGTGGAAACTTTTCTACATTCTGATTAAAATGTGTCCTCCCTATGGGTCAGAAACATAAGTTTGATTCGATTCAGGTGGCAATATTTTTTATTTATCAAGTAAATGGGCGTGGGAGCCTCCAACTGTACAAACTGTTTGCATTCAATCAGAGTATATTTTCACAATGGGCATTTCTAATTGAATATTTGGGTTTTCATGGAGCTGAGCAAAGATGAGACGCTTAATGTGACACATATATGCCTGAAATAATGATTCCTAGAACAAACTGAAGCGTTCTGTGCTTAAATGGAGCAATTGATGCAAATTCTGATGTTTTATGTTCCAGAGATAGGGCGTCTTGTTCTAACTATTTAAATTTGGATGTTTTTCAATATAAATATCGCAATTATGCTGTATGAATTTTGCAAGATAAAATCTGATGCTGCTTTCTTATTCAGGGTCCACCTCAGTAAATCAACTTACAGTTTTAGCAGTTTTTATGCAGGCTTGTCCAACTACACCACGAAAGTGACTCTTATAAACATATATCTCATAAGGAAACCTGAAAAGGTATTGCAAGAACAATAAAATTGTTCCATTATATTGTGATAATCTCTGTTTTTATTTTTCCAGGAAGAACCTCTCTCTTTTAAAGGACAAAATGGTGTTTTATAATAATAAAAAAAAAATCAAAGCAAGCACAAGATTTGCTGTGTCTGCGGTTAGAGGCAGGCTTTCTACCCCAGAAGGCAACACTTTCACATAACTGGTCAATATCCTCTTGTTTGAATCCTTGAGGTGAATTAGTGATAGCTGAATAACGTTAAAGACCAAACATTAAGTGCAATAAGTAGTTCCTGTGGAACTATCACTAGGTTTCAAACTCCGACCAAATAAAACTAACCAGCCAGGGTTTTATCCATCTTTGACTATAGATTCAACTTTAATTCAAAGAAGGCCTACATACTTTTTCAATTTAATTAGTTTATAAATATGGGTCTGTATAATTTAAAAAGATCTTAAACAGTCATTCACATCAACACCTAATGTGGTTTTGTGCAGCAAAATTAATACCCAAATATAAAATTACAGCAATAATTGTGAGAATTAAATCAACCATGCAAAATTATTTTAGCCATGACAGTGATATATTTTCCATTTCTGTTTTTAAGAGTTATAACTTAGGTCACAGAGCAGTTTATATACCAATAAATAGGCATTGCTGCCAGACCTTTGAGAGGAGAAATTACTTTTAAAAGCCTCTAAGCATGAGATAATGTCCAATCTAATAAAATCTGGAGATAAGGATCAAGTTTCTGCCTTCATTCAAAGAAAAAAACCCAAGCTATCTAAACCAGAGGTTGTCCTTTAGTGCTTTAAACACCAAGATTCAACTGCGTACTGAGAAAACAAACCTAAAAAACTGATTAACTATTGTTCCTTTTTATTTTTTTCTTGCAGTAAATCCTGAAATGAATAACACAGCAGATCCATTTGGACTTGCTCCACCAGTCATGAGCAGACTGGTGGGGAGGAAAGAAAACACACCCCAGGCTACAATTTCAAAGATCAGACCAATACAAAGTTCCTGATAACCAGAGATGGAAACATATCGAACAATAAATCTCTCCTAAAAAATTAAACCCATTGTCTCCTTGTTGGGCGTTGAACACAAACGGTAATGCTAACTTATAAATCAATATCTTTTTTTTTTTTTTAAACACTAGATTAAGGAAACATGCAGAACCACGTGAGCTGCTGCAGACTCCCCTCTATTTTCTCACAGATGTTCTGTTCAGTTTGACCTCAGTCAGGCAGATCATTGCTTCATATGAAGGTGAACAACCAACCTTTTCATCTGTTTTCTTATCAGGAGCTAACACCTCTATCCTGTGACATGGATATAAAAGTTTGGGAGTAAACTTTGGATTTTTGGAATATGTTAAATTGGATTAAACAGGTTGCAGTATGCTTAGGTCTTTAGATTTCTTAAGTATAGCTGGGGTGTACTTTATTCTCTACATGCACACATAAAATAGTTGTTCAGTCTGGTCTCTTCCTCAGCTTTGTGAATCCAACTCTGCAGCTGGTAGCAATGAAGTAACATCACACGTTTAATAACCACTCAGCAGAAACTTTGCAAACTCATTTTTTAATCTTCCTCTGATTTAGAAAAAAAAGACCAACATGTGCTTGCACAGGCACCCTTCAACTGGTCCTCAATGCATTTGAATTAAGGACCAAAAAAAAACAGCATCATGCTGTAGATATATGGTTTGGAAATCAAATCTGTGGCTTAAGGGTCTCAGACGTTGTATCGAGCATCTGGTTGCAGACTGCTCGGAGGCGGAGCATTTTTGGTGTCTTCGCAGCCGACACAGGACGGAAGCAGTGGGTTTAGGAGATTGCCAAGGCCTTTACGGAAGACACTGTTGGAGAGACTGTAGATAAGACAGTTACAGAAACTGTTGCTAATTGCCAGCCAGGTGGTGAGAAAGGATGCTACCGTGTGGTGATACAAACCCCCACTCTCAAGGAGGAAGTAGAGGATGTATGGCATCCACAGCACGTAGAAGACACTGGTGATTCGGAAGAGGACCATGGCGTAGCGTTTCTCTGGGCAGCCCTCGCACCTCGCGTCCCTAATAGTCTGTGTCTGCGATCTGAAGCGTGCGTGCTGTTGGTTGATTTCCCTGGTGTGCTGACGGCAGATCCGGAAGATGCTTCCATAGGTGAAGCAGACAGTGAACGCTGCCGGGGCATAGAGCAGCGCCACGATGAACGTGCTGAATGTTGGGTTTGTCTTCCAAGAGTCTGAGCACCACTGAAATATGTCCCCATGGTATCCTGGCTTCCCCCAGCCAAAAAAACAAGGCAAAAATATTAGGGTGGAATAAATCCAAATCAGGATGATGCAAAACCTCAACCGACATGGTGTCACCAAAGTGCTGTAGGACAGCGGCCGGGTGATGGCAATGTAGCGGTCCACACTAATACAAGCTAGTGAGGCCATTGAGACGCCCTTTAGCACAGAAACAATATAGCCAAAGCCTTTGCAGGCAAGCTCCTCATTCAGGTCTTGGAGGTAGTGAAGGAGTGACAGTGCAGGAACCAAGCAGCTGATGCCCACCAGCAGATCGGCATACGCCATGGTCTGAATGAAGTGGCTGGTGCTATGGTGGTGCAGCAGCGGAGCACAGTGGAAGACAAAGATCACCACTAGATTTCCAGTGATGATCAGCACAGCTAGGAAGAGAATGATGGCCACCTCCAGTATGCAGGTATCCAGGCTGTGAGAATAACCCATCAGACAGAACAAAGGAGAACTGCCCTGGTTTGAATTAGAGGAGGAGTTCATGTTGGGATTGGATAAAAGAGGAAGTAAGGGTCAGGTTCAGGTCCACACATCCCATCTGTAAAGTTAATTTCAATCCTCTACAGCCTTGTCTACTTACTTGCTAAGAAAACAAAGCTAGACTGCCATTCGCCTTAAATCAGCATCTTTTCTATAGGAGAAGCCTTTAAGCCTGTCCTTAAGGCAGCGGTTACCCACAGATGCATGCATATTGAAGCCAGACTGCACTGCTGCAGCTGGCAGGGATATGTGTGCATGTTCACAACTGCAAGATGTGTACAAAAAGGAGAAAAAAAATCCCAGCATTAAAAAAGAAGAAGCAGTGGTGATGTTGCACAACAACCTGTCGTCCTGTGTGAGCCTTTAATCACAAACCCTGCTCTCAATAACAAATCCTGAGGTGAGATCTCTGTGTAGACGCACAAAAAGCCATTCAGGTTCCGACTTCAGCAGAGAAAAATATTCCGAGCAGATTGTGCATATCCTTAAACTGACTCAGGAAAAAAATAGTTAAAGACAAAAAAAAATTTCAGGATTAGGCGGAGCAGAACTGGGTAAGATAAAGACGTCTGGTGATTGGTCACATCTCCATGATTCCTGGTCTCAGCCTGCAGATCTGAAAGCTAGCATGCAGTAATGACTGTGCATTAAATAAGGAGGTAGAGGAGGAGCTGCTCTGCTCTAGCACCAGTACACTGATAATACAGCTCTGTTGTGCCTCTTTCCTCTCCTCCTCCTTCTTTTTATCTCTTACTTTATCCCCTCCTTCTCCTCCTCCTTCTTTCCCTCAAACAGACATTTTCCCCCACTAAAATTTCCTCTATTATCCGGTCCACATCTTGTTTTTCTTCTTTTTTAATAAAGTAAATCCACAACACAATAGGATAATTGAAGCAAAAAAACAACAACACTTTTTTACTTGTTTACATTTTAGCATTGTAGTGCTAGTACAGATTCTGTAATTAGTTATTTTGTATATCACGCTCCTTTGCCATTTTCTATTTCTAATTAAATCAGCCAATCATTTGACAGCAGTGCTTTGCATTCAAGCATTTCTACTTCTAAGAAAAGAGCTCAAGCATCAGCATCAAGTTAAAACAGGGAGTAGCTGTTGGAGCCAAGAGGCTGCTATGAGATGAGTTGATGGTGAACTATTTAAATGAGGATCTTATTTATTAAAGCATCTCCAGAGGTTTTAGAGAGCTCACACAAAAGAAAAAGTCCTAATTATCAAAACCAATCGTGGTTTACTGTTGCAGACATTTAAAGAATACCTTCTCTGGATGCTCAGATGATGAAGTAGAAGCGCTACAGAAGCAGGGCACCACTTCGGTTACCTATAAGACTACAGTAAAACAAAGGCTCAACCAAACTGAACTATAACAGACTGGAGAAATGTTCCCCTGTCTGATGAGTCTCAGTATTCAGAATAGAAAGGAACGTCCCCTTTATACCCTCTGCAGGGTTTAACTTACTTTAAGAGATATATTAGAGTATTTTTTATTAGAAATTAGACAGGAATGCTGCTTCCCCTCCTCCACTTGTTGCTAGAACCTGTTAGATAACCAACACGTCTAAACACTTTTCTTTGTGTGAGAATAAAACCCTCTATCCTTTGGTAATGTATTTTTTCTAATAAACTGCAGAAGCAATCCTTGCGTATTTTGCATACCTAAATGGAAAATTAAATAACTGAGGAACTGTTAGCCCAAATTACATGGGTGATACATCATTTGAAAGCTAACACCTTCTAGTTTTTGAATATATAAATGCAAATTGAGTGAGTAAAACACAGCCTAAGCTGCGTCAATTCAAACATGACTCAAAGTTGTTTTTTTTATTCTAGAAAATAATAGGTATTTTTTGAACAGCAGTAATAAAGACATGCTTGAGAAAAGGCTGGTCTCGTTGTATTAAATTTGTTCTACATCATATCAACCACAAATGCAAAAACTTTCGGACCTATAGATACAACAGTTCCAGAGCTGTGGGGCTTTGAAGCTTTGGTGTCACCAGCTTCTCCAAACCTCTCTGAATGTGCCAAATTTCTTACTCAACTATTTGACCCATAGAATAACACTGAAGCATTTTGATATCCACAAATCATCTATGAAGCAAGATATTCCACTTTTTCTTTTCCCAGAAACTGTGTATATAATAAAATGTAACATTTATAAACCTAAAATAATATAAAAATCTATAAAAAAAAATGTGAAAGTGCTAATTTTCAAGCTAAAATAAGCCCCAGTGCTTTTCTGAGCTGTATTTTTAGTTTCAGCCTTAGGCACTGTAATAAAACAAAATCAGCGTCCAAACTTATAAAAAAAAAAATAAAATTAGGACCATTGTTATTATTATTTAGCTTTGAGCTGTGCACATTGGTCCACTCTCAGCTTTGCATTTTACTCTTACGCAAGCAGAATTGCTATCGTCCGATCAATGGTAAATAGCTTATATCCACTGAGCTGTTGGAATAGTTTTAACTCATTCATTGCCAGCTTACTTTAGGCAAGCTTACTTTAAATTAGCCAATAGAAGCAATACCGGTTTTCTGATAAACAGTCTATTTTATAAAATAAAATAAAACGCCAATTCACAACACATGTCATCTCAAGACACTTTACAGTTCAACCAGATCTTACAGTCAAATTGATTCAAAGTTTTCTATCTAAGGAAAACCAGTTGATTGCATCGACTCATTGACTTGAATGCAATCCTTATATACAGCATGCTTGTAGCGATAGTGGAGAGGAAAAACTCCCCTTTAACAGGAAGAAACCTCCAGCAGAATCAGGCTCAGTGTGAGCGGCCATCTGCCGAGGCCAACTGGGGTTCAAGGAGACAGAAGCAGAGATACAAAAAGCAGCAGTAAAAGGCGGCACCATCCAGGAAACACTCAGCCAGGCAGACGAGCTCTGAGCCAGCTCCCATGTCAGAGGATGAAGAGAGCACATCCAGCCAGTCACAGTCAGAGAAACAGGACTACCCTAAAAAACAGGCTTTAATCTCGAACATCTATAAACAACGGTGTTGATGGCAGCAGCACAGCTGATATTTCTCTCCAGGATGGAGTCACAGCCAAACAGGAGCTAATAATTTATCCCTCTGCAAAATAAGAGCTTTTAGTTCAAGTGTAGAAGTTGGTAAATATTCAGAACAGTTACAGTATGGGACAGATTCACTAATTATGATTTTTGGGGAGTATCAGAGAGAGTGGATAAAATAATACATAAAGAGCATTACTTTAGGCAAAGCATATTGATGCAACCAGACTGTTTCCACATTTTAATTTCTCCCATTTTCCCAGATCAGAGTTGTTCTATTCTAGTTTTGCGTTTCCCTCTGACATTTCCCTGAGTAAACAAGCAAATAAGACACAAGATAACATACAAAGACGGTGCTCTTATAAATTCAACAGAATAAATGTCAGACTGAATGTGGAAAACATATCAGTAAGCAGCTATTTGAACAGGGTGTGGAGACTTCTGACCCACTGTTAACATCTTTGTGATACTAAGACCTGGTTGCTCTGGTGAGACTTGATTAGCAGTCAAAAAGTTATCTGCACCCCCCCACTGAAACAGCAGAGTGGAATGTTCTGCAAGACGGTTCAATCCGACAAACATCCAACAGCAGTCAGATTACCATTACTACGTTTAACCCAGTACATCTACAAATTTGAAATAAGCTAGACAGTAAAGTCTAAACCAATTTGTCATTTCTGCAGATCTTTATTACGCTTCTGTTTTAAGAACTAATGAGACTTTCTAGTAATTAGAATCAGATTATGGGGCCAAGCATCAGCTCTGCATTCTCCACCATTAACCTTACATTTCCTACTGGCTTCTACAGACTGCAGCTCGACCCTGATCACCATCTTCCTCGTTATCACGTCTCAAAGAATTAATTGTAATTACTGCTGTAAACCGTGTATGAAAGGAGCAGTAGTTCACACAGAGGCATGTCATAACAGATAAAAATTTGATCATCAACAGAGTGTTTACAAAATGTTGGACTAAGGCAAGGTCAAAGGTCAAACTCCTCAGCCCAGATAGCTGGTATACTTTGAACTGTCACAACTGTTTAGAAATCAGAGTCTTCTAGCGAGGCGAGGCGGGGCCTGGGGGCACTTGGGGATAACAGGCAAGGTAGGGAAGGAGCATTGAGCACACGTAGGGGAACATTGCGGACACCAAGCAACCGCAGCCATCATGGAGCTCTACCTGGACCTGCTTTCCCCACCATGCCGTGCTGTCTACCTGTTTGCAGAAGCTCTGAAAATCCCTTATGAGTTTAAGTTGGTCAGCCTTTTTAAAGGTAAGCTGAACGGGTCAGGAGCAAATGCTCATGTTGCATATTAAACCTCAAACTGAAGACATAAACCCAGACAGAAAACAACCTACAGACTTACTGGTGTGTAAACATTATTTGCTGCATGTGTGTACTTCCTCATCTGGACAGCAGATTAACTTTGTGCTACATAACTTGGAGTTAATGAACCTTTTCTGAACTAACTTATAGAAACCTCTGGAGAGCTTTCAGTTTATATTTTTACATTTCACCCAGAAAGGTATTCAGTCCAACACAGTAAGCTGTGGAGTACGGTTACATTAACCCCTACCTCTCCAACTTTAAACACATTTCCAGGCAGGTAAAATAATGTTATTCTAATCAGACATGTTGAGTCTGACACTAACGATTATATTCACATGTAGCCTACGTTTAACAGATAATTTTTCTTTTTTAGCGAGGAGATTATTCTGATGTAAATCCAAGAGCTCTGTGGTTTGATTTGTGTTTCTACTTCAGGACAGCAGTACACCAAGGAGTTTGGAGAACTCAGCATCATCAGGAAGGTTCCTGTTCTGAAGGACGGCAGCTTCGTTCTCACAGAAAGGTAGAGGCGATGCTGCAGCACTTTGTTCTCTAAAGGTCTCGTCAGTCTCTGTTTAATAGCCTACCGATTAAAATGTCAGAGAATAATCTGAGAAATTATTGATCTACAAAGCATTTTGAGTGCACGGCATCAGATTCAACAAATGTTCTTAAATTCAGCACATGATTGTAAATGATACTGGTAGAGCTGATGCAGTCAACCTTTGTGTAGGCTAAGTTAGCGAGCGTTTGGAAGATATGTAAATCTCCATAATTAACTCCCCAATAATTTAATATCAGGGTACGACTTCCAGGGCTTGTCAGACGGTGTTCATTCACACAAATGGCTTTAAAGAAGAAGAAGAGAGACTTTACCAGTTTGGAGATCGAGGGTCAGCTGACTGAGAGCTAAGCAGCAAAGTTAAAGGACCAGTAAAAAACCAAGCAGTGAAATTAGGGGAGCTGTAAATGACGTGGTTGAACTATTACAAAAGTAAAGATGAAATAAAATGAAAAATAAATGATGTCAAAAACATGTCTAGCAAAAGCAAGACAGTCAATGAAAACTACTGATGGGGGCAAGAAGTTCAACATATGATGCAAATGCTTATTATGAGATCAACATCAACCAATAAGACAAAACATTCTGCTAAATCTCCTTTTAATGCACAGGCACACATGAACTATACATCTTCAGACCACGTCTGTCATCCCTTCATCTCACATACATCACATCAACAAAATGATGTTAACAGTAGCTACGTTTACATGCGCAAAATTTCCCCGATCCGATCCAAACCTTGGTTGATCGGAAATTCAAAATCTCCGTT